AAGTGTGGAGGTCAAAGGACAATTTGTGGGAGTCAGTACTTTCCTTCTACCATGTGGGTCCCAAGGATCAAACTCATGTCAGCAGACTTGGGAGCAGATGCCTCTACCTCCTGAGCCATTTCACTGGCCCTCCACCTTATCTTTTAGGAACAAGGTCTCTCACTAAAACTAGAGCTCACTGATTGCTAGAGTCTCTGGCCAGTGATCCTCTGGGATCCTCCTGTCTCTGCCTCCCAGTGCTAGAATTACAGGATCAAGGAGGACCCCATGCTCAACTTTTTATATGGGTGCTGAGGCTTGCCTAGCAAGCACTTTACCCACTAAGCCATCTTCCTAACCCCAACACACAATTTTCAGTGCTGTTAAAAATAATTGGAACTGATCAGTAAGAAAGAATATCCAAAAGAACCATTTGAGAGTTAAAGTGTGGGATGAAATGTTGGCTCAAAAAAGTTACCCGCCTGTACAAGTTTTTTTTTCTAAAAGCTTCTAAACCTCTTCATCAATACATAGTACTAACAGAACTGACTCTCACACCTCAAGGAGCTGTACTTTATAGTACTCACTACCCTTGTTTAGTGTTTGTGAGTCACCAGTGAGCCTTGGATGGCCAATGGAATGCAACAGAAGTGATGTTGTGTGGCTTTGAAGTTGTATCTTAAATGGCCTTGTAGCATCTGCCTTATTTTCCTGAACACTCACTTTTGGAGTACTGAGTACAACGTATGGAGTTCAACTTCCTTAAAGCCACTATGCTGGTAAGATGGTAAGGAGAGGCCCTAAGATTTCATATAGAGTGACTTCTGGCCAGCCCTTTGACCATTTGAGCTATCCCAGCTGAGGCTAGAGATGTTTTATGGGTCAAAGTTGAGTTGTTGCTGTCAACTTCTGCCTAAAATGTAGATTCATGAGTAAAATAAACAACTGTTTTTTAAATAATATTTTTTATCTATTATTTTTATTTTATGTTGATGAGCGTATTACCTACATGTAAGTGCACCCATATTGTGAAATACCCATGGAGGTCAGAAGAGGGCATCAGGTCCCCTGGAACTGGAGTTACAGATGGTAGATAGCTGTCATGTGGGTGCTGGGAACTGAACCAGCCCGATCTTCTGCAAGAGCAACCAGTACTCTTTAACCACTGAGTCATCTCTCCAGTCCCACAATTGTTTTTTAAGCTATTCAGTTTTGGGTGGTTTGTTATACAGCAGTAGATAACTGAAATGCTCCTCCTTCCTCCTTCCTCCTTCACTTTATGTGAAGTATGTTTCCTTAGGTGGAGGCAGAGTGAACAGGACATGTCTGGTCAACTCAAGCACAGAAGATTTCCAGTTAAGGTTGATAGGATGATTGACTTATTTGTGCTCTAGAAAGAAATGGCTTTAGGGTTGTCTTCTGAGAAGTAACTATATCATTTCTGTGGTCAAGGCACAGGAGACCCAGAACCATCTCTTAAGCTTGTGGTCAAGCAAAAACCCACAACTCAGCATTTTAATACAGACAAATATGTGCATAACATTGAACATGAAGGACCACCTTACACAGAAAGAAATCACAAGAATGTAAATAGCAGGAAAGGTCCAGGCAAAGGAAGCAATTGACCTTGTTCCTATTCCTTTTCCGGACCTGCTTGCTACCCACTTTCATAATATGGAACTCATTCCTGCCAATGAAGCAATTAGACCACGTGTGCACACTGACCTATAGATAATCTATGATTAACTACTCAGAAATTTATCTGAGTATCTCTCCTGAGAGTCTGAATTAGCACATGAAGACTGAATATGCACTTGGACAGAAATGGCAGGAGGAATCCAGGAGGGATAGCAATTTCTAGTCACATATATACTGATCGGTAAGTAGAAAGCTGATTTACAGAAAGTAAAGATGCGAATTCACTGTAGGAAAAGCAAAAGAGAGACAGGGAGAAAAACATCAAAGAAAGCATAAGAGAAAGATGGGCTAGTGACACAGGCCCATAATCCCAGCTACTTAAGAGATTGAGTCAGGTTGCTAGGCAACTTATTCAGACCCTGTCTTGACATTTAAAGTATTTTTAAAGGGGTGGGGGTCCCAAGATATGTAGAGGACTTTCCTAGGCATGCGCAGCACCTTGAAGGAAAAACAAATACTAAGCAAACGCACAAGAGAACACTAACCCTACCTTTGTTTATTGGGTTTCTAGTCTCCAGTTTTTTTTACTAGGCTGGTAGGGGGGAATGTGTGGAGAAGAGGAGACAGTGTCTTGTGTAGCACAGGCTGGCCTCAAACTCACTACGTAGTTGAAGCTGGCCTTGAACTACTGATTTTCTATTTCCACCTCCTAAATGCTGAAATTAGAAGCATGTGGGGCTGGAGAGATGGCTCAGGTGTTAAGAGCACTGACTGCTCTTGCAGAGGACCTGGGTTTGATTCCCAGCACCCACATGGTGGCTAACAACCATCTGTAACTCCAGTTTCAAGGGAATCCGATGCCTTCTTCTGACCTCCGAGGGCATTGTACAACACAGGTGCACTTATATACATGCAGGCAATATACTCATACACATAAAATAAGAATAATAAAACATTTTTTAAAATTACAAGCATGTGTTCAGCTCCCACTTTTATTTTATTTTACTTTTGAGACAGAGTCTCACTATTTAGCCTTAGCTGGCCTGGAAATCACTATGTAGACCGGGTTGGCCTCTGCCTTCCAAGTGCTGGGTTCAAAAGCATGTGTCACCATGTCCAGTCCTATCACTCACTTTTTAAATATTAATTTAATTTTAGTTTTATTTAATTTTGGGTTAGAAGTGATGGTGGAATGGGAGTTAACAGAGACAAGCTTTTATCTTCACTTTTATTTGAGGGTCTCTGAGAAGATTATAGTTGGAGGCTGGAGAGATGGCTCAGTGGGTAAGTGCACTGGCTGCTCTTGCAAAGGACTTGGGTTCAGTTCCCAGCACGCATGTGAGGCTAACAACCATTCGGAACTCTGGTTCCAGGGAATCTGACACCCTTTTCTGGCCTCCGTGGGCATTGCATGACACAGGTGCGCTTAACATACATGGGCAGGAACCTGGAGGCAGGAGCTGGAGCACAGGCCATGGAGGAACTGCTTACTGGCTTGCTCTCCTGGCCCCTACTCAGCCTGCTGGGCCCTCCCACATCACTCATCAAGAAGATGCCCCTCAGATATGGCCACAGGCCAGTCCAATAGAGGAAATTCCCCGATTGAGGCTCCCTCAACCCAGGTGTGTCAAGTTGACACTAAAGCTATCCAGCACAATGTCAAAATATTTTACATCAGAAAAATCAACTTATCTGTTGTGTAAGCAATATATGTATATTGTACTAAAAGTACAGGAATAACAAACGTTAATATTTGGTGTATATAGTTTAATATATTCAGACAAACTTTGTACCCTTTGCTTTGAGCACATCTGATTGCTTATATGGCAGAGTTTATGTCCTCCACAAGGCTATACACTGCTTGAATTCCAAAAACCCTTTGCCTTAATGCCACATGCCTTCCTCACCTCCATACTTGGGTCACTTTCTTTAGGAAGGGATAGGGGAAAGGGCCTATGTGCTTCCTTCACTAGATTTGCACATTCATTTGACAATGATTTATTGAGCATCTAGCCTAAGAATTCAAAGGTGGGGAAGTCATTGGTGGAAGGGTTAGACAGGGACAGAGAGAGAGGAGAAAGAAATAATGCCTAGTTAGTGTGAAAAAAAACAGAGGAAATCATATTATCCCAACAACCTAATGACAAATTACACATAAAATATCTCTAAATGAGTTTATGTGCATCCTAAGGGCTACATAACAAGAAGCAGTGCCAGACAGGAGAAACTATCCTTTGAGTTTTTGGCCAGGGTGGTCCAAGAGACTCCCAAAATCCCACAGGCTATTGCCACTGCCCTTGATTACCTCTTAAAACATGAAGATAAGACTACTGCTGAAGACAGAACATACTTCAGACACAGGATTTGGAGCAATGGAGCTGGAACTGACCTGGAAGCCACTTCCCCTGAAGGCTAGCTACCATAGCTTTGGAAAGCACTATGCAAGGTGCTAAGGGAGAACATCAAACAATGGTTCAACCCCAGCTTCAAGACCAAATAACCACATCAATGACCTGCACAGCATATGACATTGAAGCAGCAGTGGCACTTTTATTTTGAGGGCAATCAACAGCTACCTAATTGGACTAAAAGTCCACTCAATGGGAGGAAACTTATGTCTGGTACTGTAAACATAGCCAAATACACATGGCTGAAGAGGTCATACATCTTGGAGAAAATCCCCAAACTGTCACATCCCTAGACGAATGTAATTTCTTACTCTGTGCCAAATACGTATCCTTATATTTACAAATATCCCAAATTGCCCTTTTGCAATATCCTTTTGTTCTCAAAAAATTCTGTTTTAATAGGGAGACAATATCAACTTAATTTACCAGGTACCTTGTTCAATTTTAGAGGGATATGTTAAAGTTTTAAAATAAAAGCACATATGAGAGACAGGAGTTGTGGAGTAGGTCCCTGAGGGGCAGCACCCTGGCCAGGAGCTGTGGGGCTTCTGAAGTAGTATTGAGGGGAGAAGAACATGAATTCCAGGGTCTGCAACAGCAGGGATTCTTGTTTCCTCATGAAGACAAGTCTAATAATCAAGGAGGCTTCGCTCTAGCGCTTACAATTTGGAAACTGAGCACCAAGGGCAAAAGGACCCGTTCCAGCCAGTAAGCCCATTCTAGTCTCTGGATGGCAAGAACGAGTTAGGGGCGGGGCCCGCTATGCGCGTGCCCCAGCCAGCCAGCCCCGCCCCCGGCTGAGGGCTGATTTAAGAGCCAGGCCTAGATTGTTACGTACTTTGGCCTACGTTTATTGGTGCAGAGCAAGTCGGAGCTTTGATTGGCTCAATGGCTGCCGACCGCTTATTGGCTGTGATGGGTCGTCAGGGCGACTGAGGGGCGGAGGGGCGGGGCGGGGGCGTGGAGACCCGCGGGCGAGCTGAGCGCTGCCGGCGACTGGGCGGCTGGCGGCTGGTTGCTGGCTGCTCTGCTGGGTGGTGTCCAGGGAGCTGCGGATTTCCCGCTACCTTCCGGTAGGTGCCGGAACAACTGGTTCAACTAGCGAGACCCACCAGCCGGCGCCATGGGCTGCTTCTTCTCTAAGAGGCGGAAGATTGAGAAGGAGTTGCGGGCTGCAAGCGAGGAGGAGCGGCCCAAGCAGTACAGCTGGGACCAGCGGGAGAAGGTGACCGAGGAACCGCGAGTGCGTGGCGGCGGGGCGGGCGACCCGCGGCTGCCTTTCTCCCGCGCGCGGAGAGCTGAAAGTCGGGGCGCACGACTTTGGGGGCGGGCTGTGAAACGTTGAAAGGAGTCTTAGAGTGGTTTATCCGCCCGGGTAGACCCTCGGCCTCACCCTTTGCTCTGCACCCTGACTTTCCTGACTTCCTATCCGAGGATAGACTGTAGGGAGGGAAAGAACAGAGAGGGCGCTGGATCTCCAGTCAGCTCATTTCACCAGCGGCGGCCAGCGGGGTTGGGTCCAGTGCTCGAATTACATGCACATGGAACTGATTCTCATCTTTTCCGTGGCTTGTATTCCGTAGTTGTTTCTCTTTTGTCTTTCTCGACAAATTCTTTGGGTGCCTCTTTGTGTTAGTTTCTAAATGGACGGTTTCATGTCCACCTTTGCTCTTGCTCCTCTCTACTTACCGGAAAAGAATAATGAAAATTGAGTCAGTCTTGGAATGTGTTAAAAGTGTACGGTGAAATTACCCAACATATACCAGGAAGTAGTTTATTATTGCTTTATATGAATGAAAACGCCCTTATTTTATTTTTATATATAGCCAGAAACCAAAAGGATTTGCAAACATCCCCTTGCACAAAACACAGTCATACATTTCATAATGTTTCCTCTTTTTTACATAGTTCTTTATTTCTGCTTATTAAAGTTAGTAGAACGCTTTGGTACACGTAAATTAGTTTTGTTTTGCAAGCAGAATGAGAGATGCTGTTTTTTTAATGAGTGTTGCGAACGGTTATCTCTTAATGTAACATTTTTAAGGAGAAATACATTGTAGTAAGTTTCTTGTTAACCTTTTGGTATCACAGATCGTCCTGCATCATTTCAAATTCCCAGCAGAACTTAGGCATTCATATAAACCAGATTTTCAAGGTGTTAGCTTTTTAAAAATTGGAAGCTTTTGGTTGGAATTCTCAACCCCATTTTTTCTGTCTCTGTTTCTTAAACCCTTCTTGGGCTATGTGGTATATATATTTCTCTTTTATAGAAGTATTTTGTAATGTAGGAAAGTACTCTGTTTTATTTTCTATAAGAAGGGGGTGGTTTGGGGGGTGGTTTTTGAAATATTTTGTCAGCCTTGGGAATTCTGAAAATGCTGTTTAAGCCCCCCCACCCGCCTTGCTGGGGATTGAATTCAGGGTCTTGCCCATGCTAAGCAAGCATTCTACCACTGAGTGGTGTCCCTAAGCTAACAATGCTTTTTAAGCTTGAATTGTCTGCCACAAAAGAGGTGTATTTTTACTTTAGCTTTTGGTTTTAAAGTCATGGGCTAAAACTAAAGTGCTTTTTACATTTTTGCAGTAGTCTTGGTTGACTGTGACTCATTGTTTCACAATAAATTGTCTTGCAGCTAACCTGTACAAACATTAAGTTCTGGTTAGTTGGGCTCTTTCTGTTCTTTTTGTTATGTTATGCTATGCTGTGCTATGCCATGCCATGCCATGCTATGCCATACCAGGCTGTGCTATGCTATGTTAATGTTATGCTTGAGACAGGGTCTTTTTGTTATATTTTGAGACAGGGTGTCATGTAACCCAGGCTGGCCTCAAACTTCTGGACTTCCTGCCTCCACCTCCTGATTGTTGGGATTACAAGCATGCAAAACCATTTCTGGTTAGAGAGGTTTTGTTATGTATCTCTAGCTAGCCTGGTACTCACTACATAACCCAGGCTAGCCTTGAACTCATGACATCCTCTTGCCTCAGCCCACTTAGTACTTAGATTACAGGTATGTAGTAACATACCCTGCTAGTTGGGATCTTATGTTAATCCTTCCTTTACATCAGTAGATATGTTCTGTGATATTTTTTTCATTGCGCTCTTTGACTAAATAAAAGCATTGAAAAAATAGCATGATAGACATCAATGTCTAAGCTTCCTTCCCACCCCCCACCAAAGTAAACATGCCTTAAACTTTCTGTTGTAAACAGGAACAGTTTTTGAGAACATCAATATGTACTATAGTTATAGAGAGGTAAGAGATGTTATTGGATATCTAAAAAGAGTTCATGCTTCTGGGTATGTATACATGAAAAGTTAAAATCTTTTTTGTGGTGCTGGGGATAGAACCCAGAACCTCATGCATACTAGGTGGGTACCTCACTGCTGAGCTACATCCCTAGCCTTCCAATGATACTTTTACTAAGCTGGCCTTGCTAGCTCCCAAAGCTTCTAATTTTTCACTAGAAGGAATTGAATGCAAATACAACTTATAGAACATAACAGAGAGACACTGTATGTATATTGAAAAAATAGTTTGTATTAAAAGTTTAGGTTTTCATGATGTTATGGAATATACTCTACATGGTTTAAAATTAGATCAGACAATTACTATTCAACCTGTAAGACTTTAAAAACAAAATGAGTTGCCTGTAGTTTCATTGCCACTTGGAAAAGTGGTATGTAAATTTTCATTAGGTTGTATAATTGGAGTATCTTTATTGACAGGCACCCTTTGGGTTTTGGGGTTTGAGTTGGGTAATTGGGTCAGCCTTAAGGGACTGAAGCAAGGAGAAATTGCCTCAATTAGAAAGAATGTTTAGGGACTAAGTGTTGTCATGGCAGCTGATACTGTAGTCAACAGTGGAATAAGTTCCTTTTCCATTGCTGCTAACTTTGAAAAAGAAAAAAAGTTTACTACACAATTACTACACTGACAGGATGAGAAATATGTTTGGCTTGTAAGATCTGTGTTTAAATCATTTGGAAAGAAATGCTTTTCTCCTTGTTACATGCTGCACCAAATACCTAGGCAAATTATTCAGTGTTTATGTAGTCAAACACCAAGGAGGAACCAAAATTACATTCTTTTTAAAAATTCTGTTGAGTTTTTGTATATTTCATATGACAGTTCTTAATCAACTTTCGCCACCCTCTCCCATCCATACCTGCACACACACCTCCCCCCACCGGACCTCATGCATTTTGCTATACATGCTAAGTCCTATCCAATCAAGCATTTGTATCCAGATGTCCTTCAGTGCAGATTCATCCACTGGAGTCTAGTCAGCCCATCTAGAGATCTTAAGTAAGGTTCACTCTCCCTCATCCAACAGTAATCAGTCTCCAACTGTTTCCAGACTAGGGCTGGCCCACCGCGCATTTCCCTTCCTCTACTCTGGGCCCTTGTCTGATTGTGTTGGCATGGGTCCTGTGCTTGATGCTCTCATTACCGCAAGTTCACATGTGCAAGCTCTCAGTGATCTGAAAGTCTTTGCTCTCCTTCTGTTCATGAACCAACCCTGACTCTTACAATCTCTCTGCCCCCTCTTCTGCAATGGTCCCTAAGCTGTGGGTGGGTGAGGTTTAATATAGGAGTCCTATCTAGGGACACACACTCTGCAGTCTCTTATTCTCTGAAACTTGGCCAGTTGTGGCCTTCTGTGTGCATTGCACTCTGTTATACAAGGAAGCTTCACTCGTGAGAGTTGAGGGATGCACTAGTTTTCTCTCTACCTCCTGTTCCGCTATGTTCCATGAGCCTTAGGTATAGAGGTTCCACTGTAAATATGTCACTTAGGACTGGGCATCTCTCAGATGTATATTCTCTGTGTGTGACTAGTTGTGGAACGCTGCAGTAGCCTCTATTGCTGCTAACTCCATTAATATAAGGATCCATATTTAGCATATGATAAGAAATTTTGGCTAAAAATTAAATTTATTCTTGTTCCCCAAGAACTTACTGGCTTTTTGGAGCAAAACAAGAAAGATTGAAGTACAAATGAGGTGAGGATAAGTGACACAGAAAAGTAGATTTTATTTTCCAATTATTCATGCCAATACTGAATAATAGAAACAAGAATTAGTTCTCCAAATTATGGCATAAATATGAAAATTGTGATTTGAGTGTGAAGAGCACACTTGTGTCTGCTACATTTGTCTTATGGTCAGTAGAAATAATACTAAATATAAACCTTATACCAGAAATTCAAGTGTTTGTTGTGCAACTTTGTGTAAAGCAGCCAATCTGTGTATTTCTGTTTCCTTAGGTATAAAGTGAGGTCATGCTAAAGAGTTCTTCACTCTTTAGTAAGGTAAAGGCCTATCCTGAAGAGGAGACATTAGACAGTAATAGTCATCTCCAAGGATAGAACTTGGACACAACTTAAACAAGATCATAATTCCCAGAGTTGTTCATCAGTGGAAGGGGTGACTTTGTGGGGAACTGATCTACATGTTAGAACATTCAGAGGTTGGATGGTGACCTGCTAGGAATAAAGTGTCTTCACTGAGTAGGAAGCTAGATATAATTTTATTCTGTAAAATTACTAGCTGCAGAATCTTTAGCTTTAGGACTAATTTCTCCACATAATCTAGGAAAAATGTAATGTCCAGAGAAGAAGAATAAATTACATTTAGCTCCTCAGCATTGGAAGCTGTTATGGAATGATTATTAGTGAAAAATTATATATTGAAGGCTTAAGTCGCTCGTGGTTATATTTGGAGATAGGGCTGCTAAGGAAATAAATATGGTTAAATGATAGAATTCTGACCCTATAGGATTAGTGACCTTATAAGAAGATTCACCAGAAAGCAAGCATACTCGTGTTCCCCATCCTACACTGAGGCAAATCCTGGTGAAGATATAGAAAAAGATGGCTTTTTCAGGTAAAGACAAATAAGGTAGGCTGTCCTAACAAAATACCATAAACTGGATGGCTTGAATAACAGAAGTTTATTTCTGAGAGTTCTAGAGTCCAAGACTCAAAAGATAAGGTGCTAGCAGATTCATTGTCTGCCAAGGACTCTCTGACTGGCTTATATGTAGTTGTCTTTTAAAATATATATTTTATTTATTATTTTTATGTATATGAGTGTATTGCCTGCTTGTCTGTAAGTGCACCCAAGTCGTACAGTGCCTGTGGAAGTCAGAAGAGGGGGTCAGGTCCCCTGAAACTGGAGTTACGGATGGTTGTTAACTGTCATGTGGGTGCTGGGAATGGAATCCTGCTCCTCTGCAA